GGGGGGTGCACGTGGAGGCTGGGTGGGGGTGGTGGTGGTAGGGGAAACCTGGGCCACTTTGCAAGGCATTGTTTCGTCCAGAAAACATTTTTTGCTGGTGAGCCGATGCCGGGACGCTCCCAAATCCTATTACCGGCCACATCAAAGTGGTGGGGGGAGGTGGGGGTGACACGCCTTAACAGCAAAGCTTCGTCAGCAACTAAGTTTTTGTTTACAGTACGCAGCGTAATCCAGTTTTAGTTGGAGGTTTGCTGCATCTGCGGGTCCTGCGGATGCATTTCCTCCGCAAGTGTTGGGGGGGGGGGGGTAAGGGAGCGAGGGAATGAGGAGGTGTAATAAAGAGGATATTGTACATCTTTTTGGTTCTTTCGGTAGTCACGTAGAATGGAAACAATAAAATAATAAAATAAAACAAAATACAAAAATAATATCTTTTATTATTTTTATTGTTTCCATTCTACGTGACTTTACCGAAAGAACCAAGAAGATGAATCCCTGCAGTCGCGAAAGCTTTTCATCCTCTGTGTCGGTTAGATCAAGGAACAATGGTCGGCTCGTGTAAAAGCTTTGCATGCGTCTAAGTGATCCTATATACATTTACGTGGTTAGCAAATCAATATGAACTTAAGAAGAGAAAAAAGGTAACCTCTCGCTCTGCTGAGCCTGTTCGCGTGCGTGTTGCAGCGACCTTGCTTTGAGCATTCGATTATTAAATGGTACGCATGCCGGAGGATGTGTTGGTTGTTTTATTTCTTTGTTTCTCCACAACCAAACCAATATGCCAGCGATTTAAGATCACTTCAAATGCATCAATGTCTTTCATTAACAAGGATTCGGTTTTTTTTACACCACGTATCATCACGCGACGGGGGTTTGATGTGCATTCTATACTCCAGGCACCTAATTACGGCTTATCACTCAATCGTGGAGCTGAATTGGGTTACTCTTTTTTTCAATTACGGCGACTCGTTGGTTTTAAGCACGCCCCAGTCGATTGAGTTTTGCTCATAGCTTCTTTTTAGGCGTAAATATTTCACGTTGCATATTTTATAAATAGGTCTCAATTATTACGCAGCAGAGGAATATCATCTTATTGGTTCTTTCGGTAAAGTCACGTAGAAGGGAAGTAATAAAATAAAACATAATAAAATAATTCTCACGACGTTTCGGCCACAACGCAAGCAGCCGTCCTCAGGTGAAGACCAGTTCTGTCGGGGAGACAGCGTCTGAATGAAACACACAATTCAGACTGTCTCCCCGACAGACCTGTTCTTCACCTGAGGACGGCTGCTTGCGTTGTGGCCGAAACGTCGTGAGAATTATTTTATTATGTTTTATTTTTATTATTTTATTACTTCCCTTCTACGTGACTTTACCGAAAGAACCAAGAAGATGAATCCCTGCAGTCACGAAAGCTTTAAATCGCAGTAGAAGAATACTCAAGAAGGATTTTGTGTTGCGATGCTTGTTTGACGGCGCTGCGTATTTTCTAAGTGTGTGCTAGAAAGAAAAGAAGCGAATTCTGTATTCATGTTTACCCTCCTAGCCATACACCGTCGTCCAATTTGCAGGAGAGTTTTGTTATTTTCGTTGAATAAATAACAGCACAAGCGTCCAGGTTTATGTCCTCTGGGACAGTACTGTGAACAGCACATTTTCCTTTTCAGGCTAAGTCGAACAATTGAAGTGCGCACGTGCAAGTCAGAATTTTGCGTGTGCCAAGAAAATTGTCCGGTTGAATGATTAAACCTCTTAACAATGTTCGATTGATAATTGTCAAGTTAAAGTTTCGTAAGCTCAAAGAACGATGGAACAGCACTCATTAACTAGTGGTGTAAATATCACATCGTCACGTGGGCTATTGTTTATGCAGGATAACTTATAACTGTTGACTTCCCACAAAGTGGTACTCACTTTATCGACTGTAAATGGATGATGGGCTGTCAAACACCACATTTCCGCAAGTGGACTCATCCCGCGATGGCGAGATGTTTACTACCTCGCCTGGTATACAGGAGGTCGTGGGTGCAATCCCGACCCTAACACCTGTGTATTTGGAGTTTGCATGTTCTCCCTGTGGTCAGTTGCCAGATTAAGCTAGTGCGGGGCCTGTAGCATATGTTATAAAGGGGCCCTAAATAAATATAAAAAATATATATTAAAACAAATTTAAATTTCATAGTAAAGTAATTGTATTTTTTCATTTTCTATACAGCCAGATAATACGGAAAAAAAATCGCTAACCTTAAACACCCAGTCGTTCATAAAAGTTGAAAGCGGTATAGTACTATAGTAATAGAGCAAGTGCAGAATCACTGAACCGGAATTGATAGCTTGAAAGTATTTATCGCGGGGCCCGTAGCATATGCTACTTTTGCGACTACGATAATCCGGCACTGCCTGTGGTCGTGTGGATTCTTCTCTGGGTCCTCCGGTTTTTCCCTCCACATTTAGAAACATGAATTTTTCAGCATTTGGCCGCTACAAGTTTACACGTGATAAGCTACTACGCTGAGCTATGATTTGTGACCGGGTCGCTTCTGAAAAAGAGCTCTATAGTAGGCCTTACCTGGTCAAATAAAACACAGTTTAGTTTAATGCACACAGTACATCTGGTAAAAATGCAGCTCTGTGGCCTCAACTAGAGAAGCCCTATCAGAGGGTGTTTTGGCCTACTCTTCCACACTGGCCAGACGTCTTGGAAGGGGTGGGAAGTTACCCACACATTGCCTCACCACGTGTGACCTGCCGATCGACTAACTTGTGGTGCACCCATCTCATACTACTGGGTGACAGACGCACGGGGCGGGATTTAAAATAAGTAATATTTTTTTTTTAAAGTTAAACACGCTTTTATGAAATGTACTCGTAATGGAAGAACTCCACGACTCCAGGAAGTGGCCCCGAAGCTTGCCATAACGTAAGGGAATGTGGCCAATTACAGCCAACGTCAGTTTACCGTGGACAATTAGACCCAAGCCGAAACATAACATGTAAAAAAGAATGTTTAAAGATATATATTTTTAATTTTTATGATAGAATATAATATTGTCATCAGTATGACATAAGTATACCAAGTTTGCAGTCGATACCACATTGGGAAGTGGGTTAAAATTGAGTTACAAGATTTGAGGATACAACGACGACAACAACAACAACAGACAGTGAGTTAAATTAAAGCGTGTAAAATAAAACTTTCACCCATTGTTTCAACTGTCCCGCCGGGAGATGGAATCCAACTGGTGACCTTTCGATCGCAAGTTCAGTGTGTTACCTATTACACCGTGGCGGCATCCTCAATTGCAGTGCCACTGGTGTAATCAGATTGTTTAAATCTGCTGTAGCGCTGAGTGCATGATGAATGTCTCAAGAATTCCCTTTAATCTTGCGTCCATTGGAAAAAGCCTTTGCAACACTAAACATATCCGTGACAGAAATTCCATCTTTAGTAACATGTGTTTTTGTGTCTGTTGTAACTACATTAGTGAGCCATCGGTCTGGAGTGTAATATTGTACACGTGTGGGTCACAGGTCTGTCCGTCTGAAAAGGATCAAGTTAAGGTCATGTATGGCCATACAAAGAGTGCCTTTTCAGGTGACTTAAGAAGAGCAAAGACAAAATACTTCCTGGCTCACGGTACCAGGACTGCACAAAAATCTTGGCCCGTCTCCATAAGTATGTGTATGCTTAAAACATTGAAGGTCACATGTTGACTGGAAGTAGCAGAAGGAAGAAGCGATGGCAAGGTGTGGCTGTGTCGGTGACATTGGTTGTGATGACTCCGGCACCTTGACCTTTTTAGGTTCGTTTGCAGTCTTCCAATTGGATATCCTTTGGGTGAATCGTCGTTGATTTGAGTGGAATGTGCAGGGATGTGGGAGGTTTGCACGAGAAGGTGCTGTCCTTTGTACCCTGCGCACTTTGAAACGGGGCGCTGCGGAGGGCACTTTGCAAACAAACTAATCAATGGATGAACGTTGTTCTGGGTGGGGTGGCGGGCGGTCGGGCGACGCTTGCCGCTTGAATGCACGGCGGCGTCAAACGTGCCGGGCGGACGACGAAAAATGCAACGGGTTGCCTCGTGTGGGCCACCGGCCGCGGTGTGGCCCTGTTTCCGTAAGCGAGCAGCCTGGCACACCCCGCTTCAAATGTCAGCCTGACTTTAAAGTTTTCCGCGCACCAGCCCAAATGACATTATGTTGGCAGCTCGGCAATTACGAGGCGGCCGTGTCTGAAATCGGGCGCGAGCTTCGCCCTCGCGAGCTTGCGCGCACACGCCGAAACATGAGCTCATCAATCTCGCGAAGCCTCGCACGCCCGACAGATCAAACACACTGGACTACTTAACCAACAGGTGAACCATCACAACACTCTTGGCCGTATTGTGCGCGTGCATGTGTGTGTGTGCGCGCGCGCGCGCTCGCGCTCGTGCACGTTTGGCCTGCAACACCTGGTATCGGCAGGTGGTCTCCCATCCAAGTACAGTACTAATCAGGCTCAACCCTGCATGGCTTACGAGTACAGGCGAGCTCCTCGTGCGCCACGCCGGCCTTTATATGTGCTCGTGAAAACAGCTCGCCAACAGCCCGTTAAGGCTGCATAGGGGAACATTGTCTTTGCGTGTGTGGTCATGGCTAACATCGGTGGCGTACATCTCACCCGGTTCCGGGCCTCCCCTAGGAGTCGCCTGAAATAATGACCTGATGTTGGTGCGGGAACATCAGCACTGCGGAGACTAAAGCGGGACGGGCACAGTTCTTTCCACGCCACCCCCTCGTGCTCTTTGTCGGTCTCCGTAGGTGCTCGCTTAACTCAGCCTCAAATGAGTACCTGGTGCGGTGTGTAAAGATCGCCGCTAGGGAGATAAAGGCAGCCGGACGTGTTGGTGGCCACCCACCCCCTTGTGTGTCACGCCGACCTTCATAGGTACTCGCTAACAGCACTTGCTTCTACAGTCTGATAAGGCTATACAGGAGATCTTTGTCCTTGTGTGTTTTAGGTGAAGCCACTCGTCAACACGGAGGATGAAGCCACTGCATCCGCAAGGGAATTGGAGATAATGAAACTTCTGGCCTTTAACTTTACTTACACCTCAACCTCAAGCCATGCATCGTTACTTCTCCTCCTCCTCCTCTCGTCGTCTCCTCTCAGTCAAAGGACCATGCATCCTCGAAACAAGCTGCAAGCCACACCGAACATCGCCAAGGTGATTTCGTCACTTCGGCCTCGGTTCCATCCTCCGACTGCACATTATGATTTGTGTCGTCTTCCCATTGGGATCATCATTACATCCTCACTTTAATGTCGAACGCATTGATGTACAAGTTTTTTTTTTACGTGCAGCATTTCTCAACCCCCGATATTAAAACTAATTTATATAAGAGGCTGTAAGTCATTTAATTTATGTTGAAGGTTTAACATAATAGGGAAGGGTGAAAAACTACGTATTTTCCTTAAGCTATTTCGGTCAGCTGTAAGGCCTTATTGATGGAGATGCTACTCTGGGCCAGGAAGCCAAGTGAGCTACGAGTAGACCTTTACACAAGCGGAGCACACTGAGTTGAAAATGCTGTTCCACATCATTGTGATTCTCTGTGTGCTTTATTGAAATGCATGTTACTCGATGTTGTTAAAAGCAAAGTCCCTGAAGATACGGATATCTCTGAACACTGGCTCAGCAATCCGTTCACAAAGTCACAAAGCGTCCCGCTGCTCAAACGAGCAACGTGGCAGCGATTATCTGCTTTGGTGGCCATGAGCCATTGATGGAAATTCCACATTCTCACAGCAGGCCCCGTTGGTTCGCTCCATGGGACGACTAATGTGGACTTCCCCAAAAGCGATACTCATTCTACCGATCCTGAAGAGATGGCAGGCTTCGCTCACCTTCGACTGGGATTTAAACTCACAAAAAATGTAGGTGCCCAAAGCACAGCACCGCCCGGCCTGATGTAGACAGTGTAGTGAGAGCCTCGAGGTATTGACTGTTGGTAGATTTATTCGCAGCTTTGCCCGATATATACAGATGTATAAAACAGAAGATGGTGCATGTGGTTGGGGACACGTTTATCCTAATAATGTCCTTCGCATAAAGAGGCCATTTTATTCAAATTAACCATAGAATTGGAAATTGTCAATTAAGAAAAATACTGTTAAATTTCTACTATTTTTACAGCAGGAATTGTTTATCTGAAAGTGCAAATCACGAGCTCTCATGCGCTTGACTAATATTTTGTGGTTGCGATGCTCTGTTCCACTAGGCAGCTGAAAATGGGCATTTAGCAGGAAGGCATGCAGTCAATTACACGCCAGCATGCTTGAGCAAGGGGTGGTTTGTTTTAATGGCGGTCCAATGTGCTCAGAGGTGCCGTAGAATTTCCAGTTTTATATTGCCAGCACATCTCATTTTCTATAACACATTCCTGCGGACGGAGCTGGTAGGAACGTTGGGTTGCTCGGTCAATGGCCACGGTCAACGGCGGCGTGGTGTATTCCGCAAATATAGCCGACTGTGAGGGCGGGCACAAGCCGGCGTGAGTAGGTTAAACGTTGAGTTTTATAAGGGCATCACGGGGTGACCAGCCCCTCCCCACCCAGCCCCACCCTTCCCACCCCCCACCCAGCCCCACCCTCCCCACCCAGCCCTTCCCTATCCTCCTCTTCCCACCCAGTCCCTCCCCACCCTCCCCACCCAGCCCCTCCCCACCCTCCCCTTTTCACCCAGCCCCACCCCTCCCATTTTTGGATGCACGACGGACAGACGGACACAATAATCCCCTGTAGGCTGGTTGTAACCAGGAGGTTCCTACCAGTAAAATGCTTGCTCATGACCATAAACATCACAGCAGCAACATTGTAGGTACATTTCAAATGTTTAAGTATCCAGGGGTATTGGGCTCCCACGTGAAAAAGTATCGGATTGTTAAGCGAATGCCTTGTATGTGACATATCTCAGAGTCCAAATTAAGACCTGTCAAAAATGCAATGCTCTGATCTAACACGGTCACATAATTGTGAGCACAGTGTGTGTTACGTTGGAAATGTTTTCGTCTAGCAGCCTGCATAGGCCGTGGTACGTTCAGCTCAACATGAATTTGTAGCTTTGGAGCTTGGACCTACCAAGAAGGGTGATTTCTATGGCATTTTTGGATCTTATCAGAACTCCGGCTGGAATGTTCAAAAATCGTAACCCTACCTGGGGCAGCTTGTGTTTATAAGCTACAGGGTTCATTGGTTGGAGGGTTTTTTTTTCACACATCTATCTTGGAGTTTGGGGAGTGGTGTATTATCATAGGGCACGAGCTATGTGTGTGTGTGTGTGTCATTGTATGTTGGTGATTTGGCAGAGTGCACTACCATCATCACAAGGACCTGGATTTCATTTCTGGTCATGAATATCAATGGGAAGTGGTATGTAAACTTGTCCCCTAAGTCTGCCTTGGTTGACAAAGCCTCAAATGACTGTTTGCACACTGTCAAACACTGTTCAGAAATGAACTATGCAGTCGTTTTTTTATTCTACGGAGTGTATAAACATCACACAATGGCGAGAACAAGAGGGCCAGATGCTGTGCTTGCCACGCCACACCAGCCTTAATAGGTGTTCGCTAATCGCACGTGTTCCTGCAAAGAAGGCAACTGGGGGATTCAGCTGTGCGGAGTATTGGCAGAAAAGCACACATATGCAGAGGGCTTCATCCAGCAATTGATAAGAGAATCTTTCGATTTAAAGGTTTCGTGACTGCAGGGATTCATCTTCTTGGTTCTTTCGGTAATGTCACGTAGAAGGGAAGTAATAAAATAATAAAAATAAAACACAACAAAATAATTCTCACGACGTTTCGGCCACAACGCAAGCAGCCGTCCTCAGGTGAAAACCAGGTCCGTCGAGGCGACAGAGTCTGAATGAAACAGCACACGAGCTTGGAGCATATATATATAAGCTGGGCGCCCAGCTTATATATATGCTCCAAGCTCCAAGCTCGGCTGCTTGCGTTGTGGCGGAAACGTCGTGAGAATAATTTTATTGTGTTTTATTTTTATTATTTTATTACTTCCCTTCTACGTGACTTTACCGAAAGAACCATGAAGATGATAAGATAATCGTTGCTTGTGGATGATGTTATGTGAGGCACACGTATCAACACAATGCTGTCTGTCTGCGTGAAGTATTATATTATATCCGCACAGATGTTGTACAATTTAAACCGATCACAGCGTCGACCGGCTCAAACAAGCAATGGAACAGGGTTTATTGCCGTGGTGTAATCCTGAGCCAGTGGTAGAAATTCCACATTGTCTTGGCCGGTTTGAGTCTCTCCACAGGACACGTGCTGTTCACTTCCCAGAGAGTGATGAATGTTTCTCCAACATTGGATGGGTGAGGGGCTGAGTCGACCCCCGACAGAGATTTGAACTTTTTCACATTCCGGTGGTGAATGAAGCACTGAAACCCAAGTGTCAACCACTGGACGACATTCAAACACTGCATATTAATTCTAGATTTGAAGTTTTCGTGACCGCAAGGATTCATACTCTTTGGGTTTTTTTGTCGGTAAAGTCACATAGGTTATTTAATTTAGTTGTTTTCATTCATTTTATTTTTTTACCTACGGGACTTTACCGAAACAGCCAAAGAGTACTGCATGTTAAACGGCATTGTGACCTCGCGGTTCCGGAGATGTCTAACGAGCGTAGCGTACAGTTATGCCTTCAATCCATCAATCTTTTTCACACTGACATATATATTACACATTTCTGACAAATGTGGAGTTGGCACCTGCCTCTTAGGGATATGATGATGATGATTTAAAACCTCCACCATTTGCCATTGAAGAAAGGTCACGATTCTATTTAAGAATTGTTTGTGTTTGGTTGTGGCGAATGGTAGCGGCCTCCAGTGGCTGTAGGGAACACCACAAATCCATGATCTAAAAAAGATTATTTATCTCAAATATTCTGTGCATGGACTCAAGAAATCGACCAGAATCGATGAATCCAATGCATTGTTACACAAGCCAGAAAGTTTTCATTCTCTCTGTCCAAATTGCAGTGGCAAAGTGAACAACTCACAATGACAGAATGACTGAGTCTAATCTCGGGAAAGAATCGACACAGCCCATTATACTGAAGGGATAATCACCACTGAGAAGTCAGCAGTGGTGCTCCTATGGGTAGACCGGCATTTGTGATCGGAATGTGCAAATGATGCCAGTGACTTAGAACAACCAAGAAAGACGGGGATCGGCCCCATACTCTCCATGCTTAATCGAACAGGAAAGGGAGATTTCTATTTAAAGCTTTCGTGACTGCAGGGATTCATCTTCTTGGTTCTTTCGGTAAAGTCACGTAGAAGGGAAGTAATAAAATGATAAAAATAAAACACAATAAAATAATTCTCACGACGTTTCGGCCACAACGCAAGCAGCCGTCCTCATGGTGAAGAACAGGTCTGTCGGAAAGACAGCGTCTGAATGAACACCACCAAGCTTGGCAGCGTATATTTAAGCTGGGTTAGAGGAGGAGGGCGCCTTGACAAATAAGAGGAAAAGGAGACTTTAATTTTAAAGTGGAAACTCTTGTGCGGTGGTTGCAAGACACGTGCGCACGCGTGTTGAACTTCTTTTGCAACACACGTAGCAAACCTTGCTCATCAATGTGAAGGAAAGCGCACGGCGCGTGAGCCGCCTCGCATGATCCGTAAACCTCCGATGAGCAGTTTGGCTACGTACGGTGCGAAAAAAGTTCAACACACAGACTAAACTGGCGTTGTGTTTTACTCAAAACAGCAATGCATGAGCGACCTGCTAAGCCTATTAGCATCAGAGCGGCGGTGTGTGTAACGGGGCTCCGTGTTATATCGACTCGTGTAAAATCAGCTCCGGCACTGTTAATGCCTCTTGGGATCTCAGGAATGCGTGACATTACGCAAAGGTGACATTAGCAGGTGTACGCCGAGCGCGGGCTGCACGCATGAAGGTCACTCGCTGGCCCAGTGGCAGAAGCCAAGAGCAAAGCGTGGATTTCACTCGTATCTCTCCACCATTGAATCATCATCATCATCATCGTGCAAGCGCACGCATGTTGTCATTTACATTGAACCGTGCATAAATACCACCCCTATCCATGCCTTGCTCCGCTCACGCTCATTAACCAATTCTGTTTATATATTCACTCGGTTGCATTTATTCATTTGAGCACAAAGGGATCATTTGTTGTTGGTTTTAATGGACCTCTTTTCGTGCTACTGTTTTAAAATGTACGATGATTTGTGTGTTTTTTTTCTCATTTATTTTACACGAATGTTTCACAGGACATCACAGCGTGTTTTTGTTTACAGTATTTTTTTAGAAATTTGGTTTGCATTCATTGACTTGTGTAATCGGTGTTAATGGCTGTCTCATTTGCGTGTACGCCTGGTGCTTGTGATCTCCGCCTATAACCTCGTGAGGTTAATAAACCCCCGCCCATATTAAAAAAAATTTGCAAGACGTTGCATTTGGAACATTCCATTCTGCACAGAAGGGGAGTGAAACTTTCATTTCGTGTCAGGGCTCTGATGTCGCATGCCCCGGTGTTCCATCCATGCATCCGTCGTCGTGATGTGGCGTGTGTTATTGTGCAGTTTTATATTATATGCTCGTTTTAAATGTGAAATCAAGAGGTGTGTATTTTCCAAATATGATCATTTTACCTGCGTGAATGCAATGTTCATATTTCTTTGTTGCAGATGTAAGGGATATATCTATTTTTTTGTAATGATTATATATTGTTTTATTTTATTTCGATTAACATTTATTCCCCACGTTGTATAATATTTCATCGTTTGCTTCGCCGTGGCACGATCATTTCCGCTCATTTAAATTAAGAGCTTTGTCAAAAACGAACTGGAAAGTGTAACCATATGTCTGTGTTCGTGCTGTTTTGTGCAATTCTAAAGGCCATTTTTTAAAACATCAGTTGTCTACCTTACACGAATGTCTGAGTATATTAATATATTGCGCACAGTGCATTTGCCAGGTTGTGTGTTTTATTTAATTGTACACCATCAATCATACATTTCTCTAAATTATACATCAAATACACTGCCGTTTATATTTTACATCAGCGGCCAAAAAACTGACACATTACTGGTGTAAAGTGTTAAAAATTAAATCGTCTGCTGGATGAGATGAGCATTGCGTGGTGCTCACCTCCACTGGCAGGCCTGGGTCAGTGGTGGAAATTCCACATTTCCATGGTGGGGGTCAATTCCCACATTGACCAACAGCTGTTGTTGTTGCACCAAGCGACCCTCATATAATCTATCCTCGAGGGACGATAGCCCGAGTCACAACCGCAGCACTAGCCCGAGGAGGGAATGTACAATGTATAATAATAATAATAATCAGCCATTATCAATCCACTGTTGAATGAACGCCTCCCAAGCTGCTGTTTCCACTTATTGTGGCCTTGCAAAGCAACAATCCACCAATCAGCTGAATTAACTGATTTCATCGCTCAATCTCGGCTGTTTGTTCTCTGCTTTTGCTGCCATTTCTTGATTCATCTCAACCATCAGC